AGCATCGCCGGGTGGGACCCAGAAAGGAAAAAAAAAACACATTCACAAGGTGCCCAGAGGTGGCACCATATGAGCTGGGATGCACCCGACCCAGATTTGATTCCTGGCACCACACAGGGACCCCATCATCGCTAGGTGCAGCCCTGGAGACACTGAGCATGTCTAGGGTGCCCTAGGTCTCCCCAGCACTGCAGTTTCTGAGTAGTTCCACATGCTTTGAACCTCGAACTCAGTCAAAGGATCACTGGTGAGACCCCAGAATTTTTTTCTTTTTTTTGGGGGGGGACACACCTGACAGTGCTCAGGGCTATTCCTGGCTCTGTGGTCAAGGGTCACTCCTGGTGGGGGCTGGAGCAATAGCACAGCGGGTAGGGCGTTTGCCTTGCACGAGGCCAACCTGGGTTCGAGTCCCAGCATCCCATAGGGTCCCCTGAGCACCCCAAGGGTAGCTCCTGAGTGCAGAGCCAGGAGTAACCCCTGTACATCGCCAGGTGTGACCCAAAAAGCAAAAAAAAAAGAAGGTCACTCCTGGCTGGCCTCAAGGAACCTTATGGTGGGGTGCCACAATTTGAACCCGGGTCAGCCACATGCAAGGCAAGCACCTAACCTATCACACTGTGATGGGTGAGCGAGGTTTTATTTATTTCGGGTTTGGTCACACCTAGTGATGCCCAGGGGCTACTCCTGGCTCTGCGCTCAGGGATCACTCCTGGCGGTGCTCGGGGGACCCTATGGGATGCTGGGAATCGAACCCGGGTCGGCCGCGTGAAGGCAGACGCCCTCCCCGCTGTGCTATCGCTCCAGCCCCATCCATCAATACTTGTAAATAGTCGTCCTCTGGGTTCTCATGGCTGATGGATTGTCTCCCATGCAGAGACCAGAGTGCTCTGAGGAACCACTTTCCCTGCCTCTGTCGTCACAGTGGAGTAGGATGCGTGTGTCACGTGATGCTTGTTCATTCTCCGAAAAGACAGACGCAGAGAAACTGCTGGCTTTGGGAAACGGGATAACAGAAACACAGTTTCTGCAGAGGCGATTTTTTTTTCTCACTGCAGTGAGCCAAGCACCTTCCTAGTCTGAGAGTGTCCCTGGGGGTCATGCCTGTCACCACGTGCCCTGGCACTGTGTTCTGCTATAAGAAATAATCATGACAAGAGCCACACCTTGGCCGTTCCCCTGGTAACTGCATTCACTTTCATATGCCTGGTGGTCACTGCATGGCCACCAGCCCCCGGAAGCTTCTGGAAAGTCATCACCAAGGTATGGGCTGAATATAGCCCAGGAGGGAGCATCAGTGCCCCCCGGCTAATTCCAGGACACAGTAAAGCGTTAGAAAAGCAGCTTGACCGGGGCTTCCTATAGCTTGGTTATTCCCCCTTTGGTGGACGAGCCGGGGACTAGTCTGCGGGGCTGCCTTGGTTTTCTGGTCATTGTTTCCTTGGTGGTGCAGAAGGTTCTTAGTTTAACGTGGTCCCAGTTGTTTATCTTGACTTCTTTTTGCCCGAAAATGCCCGCAAGCAGATGCCCGGATGAAGAAACGATGGTTTCCTAGTCACAGTGGAATACTACGCAGCCGTAAGAAAGGATGATGGCATGCAGTTTGGATCTGGAGGATGTCGCGCTGAGGAAGTCGGTCAGAGGGAGGGGAAAAGACTCAGAATGATCTCGCTCGTGTGTGGGATATAAAGAAATTTCACACTGAGGGAAGTCAGTCAGAGGGAGGGAAACAGAGTCAGAAGGATCTCTCTCGTGTGTGGGATATAAAAGAAAATTCCACGCCAAGTGAAGTCAGTCAGAGGGAGAGGAATAGACTCCGAATGATCTCTCTCGTGCATGAGATATAAAGAAATTTCACGCCAAGGAAAATCTGTCCGAGGGAGGGAAATCAATTCAGGATGATCTCAGGCGTGGGATATTAAAAAAAAAAATTTCACGCCGAGTGAAGTCAGTCAGAGGGAGAGGAACAGACTAGAATGATCTCTCTCGTGTGGGACATAAAGAGGTTTCCCAGGGGGCTGGCGAGATAGCAGAGCGGGTAGGGCGTTTGCCTTGCAAGCGGCCAACCCGGGTTCGATTCCCAGCATCCCATATGGTCCCCCCGAGCACCGCCAGGAGTAACTCCTGAGTGCAGAGGCAGGAGGAAGCCCTGTGCATCGCCAGATGTGACCCAAAAAGAAAAAAAAAAGAGGTTTTGCAGGGGACAATCAGATGCCCAGTGGCCAGTGGGAGCAGGAATCAGAGCATGAGGGCTGGTCTCCAGCAGGAAGCTGGCCTCTGAGGCAGGGCTGGGGGTCTGGGGGTCAGTTAGGGAAGGGGACACGGGGACTCCGTAAAAGTGCCCACCACAGAGGCGGGGGATGGGGGCAGAGGTGCAGAAACAGGGGACATTGGTGCAAAGTAGCGGACACTGTGACACTGTGAAAGGGTCAGGGTTGGGACAGTGTACACCTGGGACTCAACCCTAAATATCTTTGTGACTTGGTGATTCAATGCAAAAAAAAAAAAAACATAAATTAATTTCTTTTCAAAAGACAGTTGCATTCATCGTTCTCCCGGGAAGAGTTTGACTATGGTGCTATAAAAAATTGGGGTACTGGGTCCGGAGCGATAGCACAACAGAGAGGGCGTTTGCCTGGCACGCGGCCAACCCGGGTTTGATCCCCGGCATCCCCTAGGGTCCCCCGAGCACCGCCAGGAGTGATCCCTGAGTGCAGAGCCAGGAGTCAGCCCTGAGCATCGCCAGGTGGGACCCAAAAAGCAAAATAATAATAATAATAACAACAACAACAACAACAACAATAATAATAATAAAGAAGAAAGGGGGCCCGAAGCAATAGCACAGCAGGGAGGGCATTGTCCTGGCACGTGGCTGACCTGGGTTCGATCCCCGCATCCCCGAGGGTCCCCTGAGCACCGCCAGGAGTGATCCCTGAGTGCAGAGCCGGGAGTCAGCCCTGAGCATCGCCAGGTGGGACCCAAAAAGCCAAAATAATAACATTAACAATAATAATAATAATAATACTAAGAGTCATGGGATTGGACAGATAGCACAGCGGGGAGGGCGTTTGCCTTGCATGTGGCCAACCCAGGTTCGATCCCCAGCATCCCCTCGGGGCTCCTGAGCACCGCCAGGAGGGATTCCTGACTGCAGAGCCGGGAGCAACTCCTGAGCATCGCTGGGTGTGAACCCCCCAAAAATTGGGGTGCAGAAATTAGCACCAGTCTGATAAACGGCGTTGACCTGAAAACCAAATCAGACCCCCACCCCAGAGAAAGGCTGGGGGTGACAGAGCGGGCATGCTGAGGTTCGGGGTGACAACAGACCCCAACCCCCGCCCCAGGGCCAGGGGGAGCCCGGCTGGGCGCTGGCTTTGGGGGGTCGCCCCCAGGGGTGCTCCTGCTAAGCCGGAATGGTCCCTCCCCCCTGTGCGGAGTCGCTTGACTCTAAAGGACACGCTGTCCTTTGCAAACTGCCGCCCAGGGGGCGAGGGGGCGCGCCCTGCCCCCACCCCGGCTGAAGCGGCTGTCGGGGTGGGCGGGGGCGGCGGCTGCGGCGGCCCTGGGGGGCTGCACCGCGGGCGGGCGCGTCAATGGGCGCTTTATGCAGGCCCCGGACACCGCGGCCCTGGGATGGAGCCGCTGCGGTTTGCAGAGGCCAGAGACGGTCCAGGGTGGGCGCGCGCGCGCACACACACACACATATACACACACATACACACACGCACACATACATACACATATACACGAACACACACATACATACACGAACACACACAGACACACATATACACACCCACACCCACATACACACACAACAGACGCACATACACACCCACACACCTATACACACGAACACACACATACACACACATGCACACACACATGCATACACATATATACACATACAGATACACACACTTCTATACACATGCACACACACACAAACGCGCACACATATACACACACACAAACACATGCATACACATACACACATACACATGCACACAGACACATCTACACGTGCACACACATATACAGATGCACACTCACAGACACATACATATACACACAGACACACCCACACACATATACACACGAACACACATGCACACCCATAAATACACCTACAAATGCACACACGTGCACACACATACATGTACACACATTCACACACATATACACACATGCACACCCAAATACACACATGCATATATGCACACACAGACACATACACATTCACACAAATGCACACACATACAGACATACACGCGCACACACGCATACACATATAGACACACACATGCATATACACATGCACACACAGACACACGCACACAGACACACATGCACACACATACACACATGTATATATACACGCACACAGGCACACATACAAACACAGAAGTTCACATTCACACACGCATGCACATAGACATACACGCATGTATGCATGCACACACATGTACACACAGACATACACAGGTGCACACATAGACACACACATGGACACAAGCACACTAGCCCGCGCACATGCGCGCACACATACACAGCACACATGCACACACACAGGCATACGCGCACACACAGGCACACGCACACACGCAGGCAGTCGCACACCTCCCCACACACAGGCACACACACCCACGCCTACGCGCACACCCACACACATACCCACACACGCACACACACCCACACAGACACACGCGCGCGCACGCACACAAACACGCACACACCCCACACACCCGCACACGCAGGCAAACACACGCTTGCGCGCACACCCACAGACGCGCGCGCGCACCGGCGCGCACACGCGCGAGCAAACGCACACAACACACGCACCCCCCCCACGACCCCCAAGCGCGCACACACGCGCGCGCGCAAACGCACCCAACCACCCCCCCCACGCGCACACCCCCCACGGGCGCGCAGTGTCCGGCGGCGCCGGGAGGGCGGGCCGGCGCGGCGGGGCGGCGCGGGGCGGGGCGGGCGCGCGGCGGGCGCCCGTGCGCGGAGGTGCCCGGCCGGGCAGGATGCGCGCGCGCCCCGCGGGACCCCCGGCCCTGTGGCCGCTGCTGGCCTGCGCGCTGCTGGGCGGCGGGGCGCGCGGGGCCGCGGAGCCGCCGTTCCCCGAGTCGCCGGCGCGGAGACCCAGCGTGCTGGTGGCGCTGCTGGCCCGGAACGCCGCGCCCGCGCTGCCGCACTTCCTGGGCTGCCTGGAGCGCCTCGACTACCCCAAGAGCCGGATGGCCATCTGGTGAGCGGGGGACCCCAGCCCGGCCGCCCACCCCGGACCCGGCTCCCCTCCCCGGTCCCAGCCTCCTCAGGGGCGCCCGGGGCGGTCCCTGCTCCTCCTGGGGGCGCGCGGGGCGCCGGGGCGCATGGGGACCCCCGTCCCGCCCGCTCCCTCCCCGGACCCGGCTCCCCCTCTCCGGTCCCGGCCTCCTTGGGGGTGACCGCGGCGGTCCCTGCCCCTCCTGGGGGCGCGCGGGATGCCGGGGCGCACGGGGACCCCCTTCCTTCTCTCTCCCTCTCCGGACTCGGCTCCCCTCCCGGGTCCCAGCCTCCTCGGGAGCGCCCGCGGTGGTCCCTGCCCCTCCTGGGGGCTCACAGGGCGCCGGGGCGCACGGGGACCCCCGTCCCGCCCGCTCCCTCCCCGGACCCGGCTCCCCCTCTCCGGTCCCGGCCTCCTCGGGGGCGCCCGCGGCAGTCCCTGCCCCTCCTGGGGGCGCGCCGGACGCGTCCCGGTCTGGGGGTCTCCGGGGCGCTCGGGGTGCGCGCGAGGTCCCCTGCTCCGGGGACCCCTGGCCGCGCTGCCGCCGCGCGCTCCGGCGGCGCGGGTGTCCGCGCGTCCCGCTGCAGCCGCGAGCGCTGCGTCCCGGGGATACTGGACGGCGCTGCCCATGGAGAAGAGGCCGGCTGGACACTCCCGGGGAGCCCGGGAACTCCGCGCGCCCCTCTCGGGAACTCGCCCGGAGCGAGTGGAGACGGCGGGAAGGGGCGGGGGGACAGGTGGGCGCGCGGGGTGCAGCCGCGGGACCCGGCGCTCTCGTGCTTGGAGCCCCGCGGGAGCAAGAAGGAGTCGCGACTTGGGGAGTCCAGGGGCGCGCCGGCACCCCCCGGGCTGCGCCCTACGTGATCCGTGCCACGGACCAGTCCCGGAACGGGGAGCGCGCTGCGTGCGCCCCGGGTTCCAGCCAGAGGGAAGGATTGAAGAACTCCACACGGGGTGGGGTGGGAGTGAACACGTCGCCCCCGTTCGTTTCTGGCTGCTTTTCCCCCCAAAAGAACTGCTTCTGAGGGTGGACGGTGGACGGGGCGGGGACCTTGGGGGGTCTGTGACCGAGGGGGTGTAGGTACAAGCTACACCCAGCTTCCAAGAGAGGAGAGGGTGGTGTCCGTCCTGACAGGCGCAGAAAGGGAGCATGGGGCGGGGGGGAGCGCTTGCCTGGCACGAGGCCGACCCGGGTTCGATCCCCGGCATCCCGTAGGGTCCCCTGAGCACTGCCAGGAGTGATTGCTGAGCGCAGAGCTGGGAGCCAGCCCTGAGCATCGCCGGACGTGGCCCCAAATGCAGAAATAAAATATTTATTTGCTGGAGTCCGAGAGAGAGAGAGAGAGAGAGAGAGAGAGAGAGAGAGAGAGAGAGAGAGAGAGAGAGAGAGAGCACAGCGAGCAGGGTGTCCGCCTGGCACACAGCCAACCCGGGTTCGATCCCCGACATCCCATCCGGTTCCCCGGAGCACCGCCAGGAGTGATCCCTGAGTGCAGAGCCAGGGGAACCCCTGAGCAATTCCCAGTGTGTCCCCGAGACGAGACAAAAGAATCCCAGAGAAAGATGAAATTTGCACCCAGAGAAGTCAGCGATGGGCTGGGAGGAGACAGGACCGTCTCCAACCCCCAGCACCACCCACCCCCAGCCTTGGGCGCTTGGTCCCACTCTTGGTCTGGTACTGCAAAGCCGGGGAAGGGTGACTGTCACGGGCATAGCCCTCCGGAAAGGGAGGGACTTGGAAGCAATGGTTTCCGGAAGCCTTCCCAGCCCCTTCCACCCCCCCCCCCCCATGGTCCCATCAGAGATCACAGCCACGACCCCACCTGCCCTGCTCACCCTAAGGTGCCCCCCGGAGGTGGCAGATTCTTCTTCTCTGGGTCTGACGCCTATTCTGCAGGGACCTCGGTCACTGTGGCAGGACCTCGAGGGCCAAGCCTTGGCCACCCCCTCCCTGAGCTGCTAATGGGACCTCTCGAAGTTGCCTGGGTGTCAGTAGACCGTTTCTCGACGACTGACTCTTTCCTCTGGGGCCTCTCCTGCCTTCTCTGAAGAGCCTCACGTCGGAGTCCAATTTTTGCCATTGTGGGGATTTTCGTTTTGGTTTTGTTTGGGGGGGCCACGCCCGGCAGTGCTCAGGGCTGACTCCTGGCTCTGTGCTCAAGGATCACTCCTGGCGGTGCTCGGGGGACCCTAGGGGATGCTGGGGATTGAACCCGGGTCGGCGCATGCCAGGCCAGCACCCTCCCCCCGTGCTATCACTCCAGCCCACCCCCCCCCCACCCCAGGGATTCTTAAAGTTGTTCTTCTCCTTGTCCCTTTGTACCGGAAAAATTCGGCCCGCACGAGCACAGCCTTGGCTGCAGGCATCATCATCTTGGAGGCCATGCTTGGTGGTTGTTCGTTCAGAAACCTTTGAGTGTGGTCCCATTTTTCAGGACCCCCACCCCATCTTCACCATTAGGTGGTGGGACACCCCTTCACTGCATTGTGACCTATGGCTTGCCCTAGGAGACAGCTTTCATTCTATTTGAAGGCACCTGCACATCCAACGGTGTGGAGAATGGGGTCTCTTGGTATGACACATTTGGTGGCCGAGAACTCTCTCCCCCCGAGGAAGAACAAAGAGACGGGGACCTGAACTGGGAGACCCTGCTGATGGCAAAATGGCCCGTTTATTCTCCAAACCAAATAGCTGATTATAGAGACTCTGTGGGTACTGGAACTGCATGCAGGGGTGATTGACCGTTTACAGAGGGAAAGGGTTTGAAGCGGGGAGGGGGACTAACTCAAGGAAACGCTTTGTTTGAGACTCGACAAGTATCTGTATTTTAGCTTGTCTCTTTCTGCTAGTACATATTAAACAATTAACGTCTACTTCTTATGAATACTTGCAGTTACTCAGATCAACGCAGCAAGAAATGTTAGATTCTGAGTCCTCAGGCTGATTGAGGTTTTCCTATCCCCCTAGGACCCCGTCTTTTTAGGTCATTGTGACTTGGATCAAGACTGTGCTTTGGGGCTGGAGCGATAGCACAGCGGGGAGGGCGTTGGCCTGGCACACAGCCGACTGGGTTCGATTCCCCCACATCCCATATGTTCCCTGAGCACTGCCAGGAGTGATCCTTGAGTGCAGAGCCAGGAGTCAGCCCTGAGCATCGCCAGGTGTGGCCCAAAGGGGAAAAAAAAAGAAAAGAAAAGAAGAAAGAAAGAAAAAATAAGAAACTGTGTTGATTTCTAGACTGTTCCATATCTAAGCCATATCTAAGCTGCTTGCCCATCCAGAATCCCTCGGTGGGATCAAGCTTCTGGAAGTGTTAGGAACTGCGGGGCAAGCAAAGTCTGAGTCAATATATCGATTATAATTATGCCCAGGGGTAGATATATTTCAGAGCCCACCAACTCTCAGGTATTAGGAGCACAGCGTTCACGGTCTTTCTGTGTTTAAGCGAAGAACAGTGCTCGAGAGTAAGATATAAAAAGGTTTTTGGGAAAAAGAAAAGCAAATAATTCACCACAGATACAAAGTCCAGAGTCCCTGGGAGGCTTGATTTTTATCAGTAACCGAGCCTGACTTGGGGAATCGAGCCGCTAACAGAATAAGCAGTAAAGCACGAACAGAACGTTAAAGATAAACTCGGGGGGATTAGGGGTGCTCGTAAGAGCACTGTAAGCCTCTCTGGTGGGGGGGAGGCAAAGGGGACAATTCACATTCCTAAACCTCTGAAGGTGAATTCCCAGCACCAGGGTCCATTTACTCCTTCCTGCCACAGTTAACAGGAGCTTCAGCTCAGGTGTGTGATGGCTCTGTGCCCATTTTACAGATGAGAAGACTGATGCGCACAGTGGCTCCGAAGGATGTGTAGATAGCTGCGCTTGGGGGCTGCTCTCAGCTCGGTGCTCCGGGTTTGCTCCTGGCCGGGTGCTCAGAGGACCACGGCAGGCTGTGACTCCTGTAGTCAGTGCCCGCCCCTCCCAGTTCTCTAAGCCTGTTTTTTCCCACCATGACTTTCTGGTGGTTTCTGGCCCGTTGATCACAGCGGGGATTGAGCTGGGAGGGGGGAAATGTTGGTATCCGACCAGGGCTGCAGTGGAGACCGGGGCGCTTTTTGAGAGAGTGACACTTACTTCGGCCTGGGAAAATGCGTTCTGAGGGGAAAAAAAAATTGGAGAGAGAAAGAAGTTTCCAGAAAGAGGCAATGGTGGGGCTAAAAAAAAAAAAAGAGGCCCACAGACATGAACCAGGAGTGCCCGCCAGGGATGGGGGTTATCAAAACTTGCCCAAATTCTCGGCCTTCCTTGGAGCATGCAGAACCCCTGGAATATACCCCTCCATCAGGGGGCGCCATCTCCCCAACAGAGGTGGAGGGGCTCTTGCGAATGACTCCCAGAGCCCAGAGCTCTAAGGCCGCGTTCTCAGAGGCCGTTCCTCAGTGCCGACACTTGTGTCAAGAGCGGGAAATGTCCAAACATTTGGGGTGGGGATGACGAGGATCTTTCCAGAACGGAATGGACGGCCAGAGCCCAGAGCAGGGCAGGGGCCCAGGAAGGTCAGGCCCACGTCATCGGGTCTGGCTCCTGCAGGCTGGCTTGGCTCAGGCGTCCCCGTGTCCTGAGAGAGGGACAGCTGACTGGCCTGCCACCTGGGGCGTGCCCTTGGCTCCGTGCACTGGCCACCTTCAGATGCGCTTGGAAGTCACTGCATCCTCACCTAATGTCGGGGGCGGGGACAGACAGAGCCCGACCCTCGGCTTTGGGGACAAGAGCGCCCATTATCTCACCCTGTCCTGGGGAGCATGACTTTCTTTCCTTTTTTTTTCTTTCTTTTTAAAATTTATTGTGCGAATGTGAGTTTCGGGGTCACCTAGAAGAGACTGCAACCGTCTTGAAGTAGCACGATGTCAGAGCAAGGAGCAAGATACAAGAGGGAAAGCAGTTGACCCCAAAGATAGGGCTTGGGGCTGCCTTTGGGAGCCTGGCAGCTG